GTAGGGTAAAAACACCAACCTCAGATTTTTTCAAAAATAAGCATACTGTTGTTTGAAAAACGTAACCTTATAATAACAACTTGTTAGTTATACATTTTTCCAATATTCTATTTAAAACCGATTTTACGAAGGGTATCAACGTCGACGGATCATACTTAAACCACTTGAGACTCGTAGGCTTAAAAATGAACTACGGTTAAACAAAAATACTGAGCCGAGACTAGACAAATATAACATTAAAAAATCATACCATCGAAAATTTTGAACATTATGTATATCTAATTTATGTCATCAAACTAGGGAAACCAAATCAAGATGCTGAAATTAATAGACGAACACAACTGGCATGGAACGCTTTCGGCAAACTAGCATGTATCTTGAAAAACACTTCCATTCCTGTAAACTTAAAAAAGGTGTATAACATATGCGTACTACCAGTTTGTACCTCCGGCTTGGAGACAGTAGCCCTTACCAAAAAATCTGATAAAAAGTTAGAAACAACGCAAAGAGCTATGAAACGAATCATGGTTGGAATATCACTGAGAGACAAGATTAGAAACACCGAGATAAGACGTAGAACGAAAATTAGGGATATTGTGGAAGAAATTACAAAAATAAAATGGCGCTAGGCAGGTCACGTAGCCTGATATAATGACAACAGGTGGATACGGAGAATTCTAGAATGGAGACCAAGGACGACAACAAAAGCATGAGAAGACCTCAAAAAATATAAATAGATGACATAAGAACAGTAGCAGGCAAACAGTGGATTTGATTTCCGCAAGATAGAGAAAGATGGAAGCAATTAAAAGTAACCTACATTGAGGAATGGATGGAAAATGGTTGACAAAGAAAAGAAGAGAGACTATTTAGTGTGCCTTAATCCCATATAATATATTTCAGTTATCTATGCCACAATAAAGTAGTTTCATTTATTATCAACATATTGTAACAAAATAGCAAATTCCTAATCGACAATGTATTAGCAGCTTTGACAATGTCAGGTTTTGAATGACATAGGAGCTTTTAAGCTACACCACCAGAAATAATTCTTACCATATTCTACTCTTCTTCTTCTTCCTCCTCTTTATAAGTAATTCTGCTTGTTCATTGGCGGATTAATACCTCTATGGAAGGTTGTCACTCCATCTTTTGTGCGGTCGTCCAATACTTCTTCTGTCGATTGGTGCCTTATCTCGTGCCATTTTTACGTCACGGGTCTCCTCCATTCTGGTTATGTGGTTATTCAATTTTTTTTCTATTTTGTGTCCATTCATTTATACACTTTTAGTTACATTTTCTTTTAATGTCTTCACTTCTCTTTGTATTTCCTGTTAGGCCGTCCGCACATGAAGCTACTAAAAAGAAACTAAAACTAGTTGGTAACTAGAATTACCAACTGTTTAGTGACTGTGACTCGCACACTACGCTACCGAAAATTAATAGAAACTAGAGTAGATAAGACCGATGGAACAAAATTCTTATAAGTTGGAGACCGTGGGAATATAAACGAAGCAGAGGAAGGCCCCAAATGAGATGGGCAGATGATATCAAGAAGCACGTGGGCTCTAGATGGATGACTGTAGCGACAGACAGAGAAGAATGGAAAAGGATTGGGGAGGCCTATGTCCAAAGATGGACCGAAGAAGGCTAATTAGATAGATAGATAGATGGATAGTCACTTCTTGCTGTGCGAGTAGCTTTGTTATAGGGTGTTTAAATTTTAACCTTTATATTATATTATTGAGTGTTATTATCGCGTTAAAAATGTCTAGTGACTCAAGTGATGAAGATATTATTCTTTATTATTATAATAGAAGACGTAAAATGCAGAAAAAATGGAGGTATTGGGTTCATCCTTACATTGCAAATAATATAAATTGCAGGGCCTTTGTTGCTGCAAAAGAATTACAAGAAAGTGATGCTAAATTTCTTGCATTTTATAGAATGTCAAAAGAATCTTATTTACATTTAGTACAATTGCTTGTACCTGCTATTCAAAAGACAAACACTCCTGTTAAATTTAATTCTCTTCCTATATCATTCCAAGCCTTTTCGGTAATGTCTTTACGCGAATATTCATTTAACGTATAGTTGTATAGGCAGGGATATTTTTCCACTTCTTGCACTAATTTTATATTAAACGACTGTTCTACCAATTTCGCCATTTCCCGTGTTAAAAATATCACAACAAACTAGAAACTCACTAGAAACTAGTCGCCAAGCGACCTGCACGTCCAGTCTGCTGTCGACTGATCACTGATGCATTAGTGACCGGTTACTAACTAGTAGCGTTGTGTGCGGATACTGATAAAAATACATGGGCAGTAACTAATAAGCGACTGGTTGGTAACTAAAGTTACCAACTAGTTTCTTTTTAGTAGCTTCATGTGCGGACGGCCTTATTCTTCCTAGTATTCTCATCTCTGCAGTTTCCAGTAGCCTTTGCATTGTGGCTATGTTGGGTCTTGTTTCTGGGGCGTATGTCATTATTGATACCATATGCACTGCTTTCTGATGATCCTGTTATATCGTTTGATTTAATATTAAACATTCGAATACATTAACCCCATATCTACCACTTGAATTTATTCCACTAATTTAAAAGAGTTTCTTTAAAATTACTTTCACCTAAATAAACTTTTTTCGATTTACCAGCCCTATTTTTGTTGCACCATTTTCGTTGTCCCACATTGACTGACAGTTTTCTTTAAAATAATATTCTGCAGATGTCTTGAACTGCTGTTGCAGAGAAATTTTATTCACCGAAAAATATAATTAAGCGAAGACTGTGAGGCAGCGTCGGATCAGTTAAGGGATCAATTTAAAAGCAAAGTGTAATTAAATTATTGAGTTTATATTTGACAGTCTAATATATAATGATAATATATCTGGAACAGTTTTAGGAAGAAATGTTTGGTTGAGAATAGTATGGGTTGAAATAAAGTAACTGGTTGTATTTAATATATATTTACAATATAAATATTATAAGTGACATGTGATATCCTTATTAATAATATGTACAAAATGGGTAGCAGGGATTTTTGTCTTGGTTGTACAGTAAGCAATTGTACATTAGACAACACTTAAATTACATAATTATAATCTAATCAGTTAAAAAGCATAAATACTTTCATAAACACTTTCATAAGTCCCTAGTAGCACATGACGTCATCTGGACATCCAAAATCGTTGCAGTTTTAGTCCACGTGGACTTTAAAGAGAGGTCTTTGGAAAGTACAACGTTCGACGTAGTTATGGTGAAATAAATATGGACTTTCGTTAGACGTCCATATTTGAACATTCATACTGGTGAAAATACAAAAGATTTCTGGACGTCCGACATTGGGGATATATCTGACTTTACTATAGTAACTACCATAGACATATAATACAAGATAGACTGATAGTTGCAATGCCAGCCTGTTAAACCAGTGCAACAGAGAAAATTGACGCAAAGCAAACCCTGCATCCTTCTGATTTGCCAGGTTTATCGATCACGTTACATAAATGACCCATGAGAAATTCCCGAATTCTCAAAACTATCGATTTGTCAACCACGCAGTGATACGTGTGACATTTGCTATATGTTACAAGCAGCATTCGAGAGATATACTGTAAAATAAAATAATAACAAGCGACGCTTAAAGTTGCACCATCGTAAGGCAGAAGAAGCTAGGCAGGTTACAGAAAATTATCACAAAAACTCTGAAATGCCCAGAAGCGACGTTCGCAGTCTTAGTATAGACCTTCAACAAGTGTTTCTTTGCCAGCTCTTACTCACAGCAAGATGTATTGCTCAAGACAGATCAATATTTACAATTTTAGTATACATATAGGAGACAACAATGGAGCTTTTACTTTTAGGTGGCAGGAAAGGTAAACAGGTAGGGGTGGTAACGAAACTGCTTCGACTTTTTTAAAAACTATAAAATGTAAAGTTACGGCAAAACGGAAACTTGTATTTTGGAGCGATTTCTTATGTACGATGACCATAGATCTAACATTGATATTTTACTTGTTTAAGCGCCAAGACAAAAAATATACACAATTTTAAACTTTCCTTGTATACCAGCCACATCCTGCAACTCGTGAATCTCCGTGGCCGAGTGTTCCGGCGTTTAAAATAAAATGGGAGAAGGAACCTTTAAAGTGTCAACGAAATAATTATGGATATACTTTCCATATCTGTTTTGCTGCTATAATATCCAAAATTTGGGAGAGTATAGATCCAGTAATTATTAAATAGAACTCGCGCGATGAAAGCTTTATTAACTGGCGTTCTGTATTATGCAGTAGAAGTCTGTCATTGACCACACGTCTAAGAGTATTGAAGTGCTACGTCTGGTCCACTTTGTTCTATGGATGTAAAACCTGGACAACAAAAATAAAAAATCTTAACAAATTAGAAGCGTTTGAGTTGTGGTGTTACCGTCGCATGCTCAGAATCCCGTGGGCACATATCTAACGAACGTGTGCTAGAGACCGTGCACAAAGAGCGAGAATTGATTAACATCATCAAAATGAGAAAGGTCCAATACTTCGGTCATATAATGAGAGGACCTAAATATCGCTTACTCCGGTTAATCATGCAGGGCAAAATTAAAGGAAAACGTTGGGTCGGAAGAAAACAACTGTCCTGGCTGCGTAACATTAGACAATGGACAGGTCGAACGGTTAAGGAACTGTTTCATCTAGCTGCCAGCCGAGAATAATTTCATCAGCTTGTCAATATGACGATAGCCAACGCTTGAATATAAGCACGGCACACAAAGAAGAATTATTAAATATGAGCTTGAAAGGTATAAACCACAAGCATATAAAAGTTGGTGCACTTTTCAAGAAAGTCATGCAGATGTAGCTGCATCCAATTATTATGCACAAACAGTGGAAGTATCCACAACAACCACAATCGCAAACGAAGTCAAAGTATCTAAAGGCAGAGTCTTAACATCTTAAAACCATCTTTAAACCAACGCATCGACAGAAAACGTTAAAAGGGTTGCTTCTAGAGCAAATAAAATAAACACAAAAAACTACCATAGAAAGAAAAAGAATCTACGCGCTGGTGCACTAGTGATCACTTCAGAAGATGCTCTTTCTAAACTAGTACAAACCTAAACCCGTCTTCTCCTTCTTTTTCATTGGCTTGACAACTCGGGGTGAGTCTTCTTCGCATTAAACATAGTCCTCCATTTCTCATCGTTCCATCTTTTTTTGGAATGGCCTACTTTTTTTCCACTCTCCTGTCAATTCATATCTTTGAAGTGCAGTTATCATTATGAGAACCTCTCTTTCAAATACTTTAAAATACAAATAAAGCTTATTTATTTCCCACTGATGTAGACTCCATGTTTCACTTCCATATGTAACAACTGGGCGAATAATTGACATGTAAAGTCTTAATTAAAATTTTCTTTTTAGCAGCTTAGATTTTAATAATTTATTAAAATTCTATTTTCGCGGAAATTTCTTTTCCTGTGTGGTTGTCATCTGGGATTACCGTCCCCAGATATTTAAACTCTTTGAACAACTTTGATTTCACAACCTTGAAGTGTAGTCATTAATAATTATGTTTTGCCTAATTCTTGGCATTGGATTTTTGATTACTAGCATGTATTTCGTCCTCTCTTCATTTATTCGAAGATCCAGACTACTTGTTTTTTTCTTGAGTTGTGAAATTAGCTCTCTCGCGTCTCTTGTAGAATAAGCAACTGCATCTAGATGAACAGCTTCTTATTCTTGTAATTCCTTCTCCTATCGGAAGTCGGCTATCATCACAGCTATCCGTACCTTATTGGCGTCTGCTCTAAAAATATTTACTGAGCTGTCACTATGCCACTCTCTTAGGTTTCTTAGCCAGAAAATTCTTCGTCTTGGTATGGACCTTCTACCCTTGATTTTACCTTGCATTATAAGCCTTAATATCTCATATTTCGCACCTCTGGTAATGTGGCCTTTAGCTTTCTTGTTTTAATGTGCTTTATGACCTCGCAATCCTTTTGTAGCCTTCTTAACACTTCAGTATTTGTTACTCGTTGGATCCATGGTATTTTCAAAATCCTTCTATAGCACATCTTAAATGATTCTAGTTTATTTATATTATCTACTTTTAGTGACCAGATTTTCATTTCATTCAACAAAGTCAATTTCAGTTCTTATCAACAGCAAAGGCCAACGACAGAATTGATCGTCGGTTCGCAAATCCACTTGTAGCTCATAAGATTTTTTACTTGCATATTTTACGGCAAATTGAATAGATACGATGATAAGGAGTCTCCTTGACTAAGTCCTGATGTTATACTAAATGGCATTGATGTTCTATTTCCTAACTCTCCAAAATCTGCGGCTTAAAAAACCCATTAAAAATAAATAAGACTTAAATGAAAATAGATGCAGCTAAACTTGATAAAAATATGCATGAGCAATTAGATTGTGGTTAAATGCAATCAGAAAAAACAGGTAAAAATATATGTAGGTCAACTAACAGACAAAGACCTTTTGAAAACTTTGTCGGCGATTTAGTAAGACATCCACATATTGTTGGTCTGTAGAAGGTATATGCGTGATCAATGAAGATTAGATTTTTATGTAATTCACCTCTCCTATAGTAGATAAAAGGTGAAAATTGTATTTTACGCTTCTTTTAATACATATAATGTGGGCTAAGTAATGTATTTCGTATTGCTAGTAATTTTTTTTATTAGCACATATCAAGGCTAATTATTTACAATATTCCGGCAAATTTGCTTACAGTCTGATAGTGAAATTGTGCCTCAGATTAAACTTATTCCAAACCAGTATGGTAAGTGTAACGCATGGACTGCAAAAATAAAAAAGTAAAAAAATAATACTAGAAGGTGTGATTCTCTCATATGTTTGTGTAGCAGTTAGTTGGTATCTATTCAGTGATTTTTTGGTCACATATTTTTTGGACTTCAACCAGGAAGTACTGAAATTCACGGTTCCACTTACACTGATGTATATTACAGTTTATTATAGATTTTAAGGTTTGAAAAAAAATTGTATTATGATATGAACTATATATGGTGGCTATGTGGTATGTTACTAGAACTAAGTGTGCTTTTGCTTTTTGTTAGTTTAATTCTGTCTTTAATGCCAGCTAGTTTCGATGACGACGATACCCTATGCACTAACGGATGGATTTTTCTTGCATGCTCAGCTTGTTTAATTTTTTCGTCTTCCATATGCACTACCGACTTTAAGTCATAGCAAAATTTATCTTTGCAGATCATAGGGCTTTGAAGAGCTGCCAATGGACTTTTCACTAACACCGAATCCTGCTGGTTGTCTTCCGGTGTGTCCACGAAGAATTTTGGCACTGAACTTTGTCTAATTATTGGGACCTAAAAATAATAACATGTTAGAGATAAGTTTTAAGTTAAGACCTAACGTTTTTAATAAAAAGAAACTAAAAATAGAAAGACCTAAACTCCTAGACAAATCTAACACATACATTTATTTTTTAGCCCTTCGGCGGAGAAAGCAAAATTTTGTAATAAGCAAATGGCACGATAAACGTGATGTCTTCTTTTTGACAATCAGACATGAAATCGACATAAAGGAGACAGGTAAACATAAAACAGGCTATAATTAAATCTAAAGCAATTATAGACTACAACAAAGGAAAAGATGGTGTTGATGTCTTAGATCAATTCGCAAGCTATTTCTCACCTCTGAGAAAAACTGTTCGCTGGTACCATAAAGCTGCAATCAAAGTTTTATTGAATACTTCTGTTATCAATAGATTGATAATATATAATTCCTTCAACACAACAAAGCAACAAGTTATCTCATTGTAGAAAATGCTAATTCTAAGTTTAGTTAATTACAGTCCGATGTCTGAAACTATTACTACTGTAAAGCATATGCTTGTTACAGTTGACGCCAGTTTTAGTTTCACTAAAAAGCGTTAAGTTGTTCACGATCACGGGTGATACTAGTGGCACATACGTGTGTAATATGTTAGTGCAGTGCCATTGTGATCATCCGTGATCTTGCTATTTAAAAAAAAAAAAATTTGTAAGAATGTAAACTTATTATTAACCATTTGTATGAATAAATATTGTTTTGTAAGTATTTTTTAGTTTGGCACCTGGGGAACGTACCTAACACTCTTATGGTGACAGCCAATGTGTTAAACTGGTAATAAAGATAACCGAAGTAGTTTACAATCTTAACTGTCATTATTAATATCACAACTAAAATTACTCGACATTTTAAATGTAATAATTTGTTTTATATAATTTTATTTATTGACAATCTACATAATTGCAGAGTATTAAGTAAATGTGTTACGGGTTTTGGGCATGGAGAAGAGACATCCAATGATGTCACACCTTATTCTATTTTGGTTTAGTTTTGAAGTAGGTCTTAGGTCCAGGTTTTATATACCTAGTCTGCTTTTGGATGGGCCATTTTTGAATAATTTTCTTACTAACTTAGTTTCGTGGTGAATGGTACGTCCATTTTGTGACTTCATGGGTCGATAAATTTCTTCTCTGTTGAAACGAATCTTTGAGTCGTAGTGAAGTGTTTAATTACTTACGTACCACCATGCACCATGGTGCATCTACTATCGATCTTAACACTTTAGACTGGAATCTTTGGATGTTATTAAGCGACGTTGGGCTTACACAGCCGCATAGGTGTAGTCCTTAGAACCAGACAGGTTTGTGTATGGCTTTGTCTAAAAGAATTTTATTTTTGATAGCCAATATTTGATGTCCAAGAAGCCAATACATTTGCCGAAATTTTAAGTCGCTCTATCTTATTTTTCTCTAGATATGTTTCTTCCAAGTAAGACGTTGCTCAAAATGGAGGCCAAGGTATCTAGCGTATGTTACTGTTGGTATACTTACAATTTCATTCTCACAGGTGGGCATATGTTGTGATGGTTGGTAAATATTATTTGAGTTGATTTTGTTTTCTTTACTTTTGTTCTCCTTTTTGTATACCACTCACTGGTAAGAAAAGGCGAGAAACTGGCGAGAAAAGACTTCTCGATCTTTTGCAATATGGAATAATTGTCCTGCATTTGGTATCTGAGTTCATACAAATGTTTTTTAACCAAGAAACTTGTTTTCTTCCTACACCTCTCTTCTTCTTAACGTGTCCTATCAAGTCCCCTTGACGTTGGCGATTAACATGGCGAAACTGTCTCTGTCTCGAGCTATTCTAAAGAGTTGCTCAGCTTTCTTTATTCCTGTCCACTCCCTGATATTCTTCAACCGAGAGGCCTGCTTTCTATGAATTCTTCTGCGTCCTTCGATTTTACCTATCATAATAAGTTGAAGAATATTATATCGGTCTCCCCTTACTACGTGTCCAAAATAGGCCATCTTTCTACATTTGATGTTATCAATCAGCTCGCGAGCAGCATTTGCTCTGTCAAGGACTGCCACATTTGTCAGCGTAGCCTTTCATGGAATTTTTAGTATACGTCTGTGCAGCCACATTGCAAAGGCCTCCAGACGATTAATGGTGGACATTTTTAATGTCTATGCTTCGACACCGTATGTCCATGCTTCTACGGCCCTCTATTTTGCCTTTAAGGATCAGTTGTAAAATTGTATATCGACTTTCCCTTACTATATGTCCCAGATAAGAAATTTGTCGATGTTTAACAGTCTTTAGCAGTTCTCTGTCTTTGTTGACGCTCCTTAGTACTTCTTCATTAGTTTTTCTTGCTGTCCAAGATATCTTCAGCATTCGTCTATGAACCCACATTTCCAATGCTTTAATTTTGTTCATAATCGATACTTTTAGCGTCCACACTTCTGCACTATACAAAAGTAGAGACCAAACATAGCACCTAACCATTCTTTGCCTTAGTTCTAAACTAAAGATATTTTTACTTTGTTAAGCTAACCTCTGTGCCAGACTTCGTCAAACGCTTGTGAGATGTCTAGAAATACAGCATTGCAGTATTTCTTTTCTTCAAGAGTTTTTGATATTTCATTTATCATTCGATGGACTTGTTGGGTAGTGAAGTGATTTTCCCGAAAACTAAATTGATGTTTGTACTAATGTTAGGAATTCATGATCTGCATACACTCTTTGTAGCATAAATCTTTTCAAAAACTTTGCTTACAATTGTAAGTAGGATAATGGATCGATAAGATGTTGCTTCATTAGCCTCTTTTCCTAGCTTCAGAATCATATTGATTTTAGCCAACTTTCATATTTTTCTAAACTATGATAAGCTTAGCATGTGGTTAAATATAACTGTTATAACGGTAACGGTCTTGTGAGCAATTTTTTGTAGTACTTGTGCTGATATTCAATCATAACCTGGGGCCTTTTGTGAAATAAGTTTGTTTATTTCTTTCTTGACTTCTACAGGAATAAAACTTTTAATTGGGAGGGACATTTAACATGCTGCGCTAATTCTTTTTTCCACATCTTCATCGGGATCTGCTGGTTCTGTTTGAAATACTTTTGTAAGATATTCAGCAAAGACGTTTATTTGATTTTTTTTTGTTGACACAGGCCCATTCGCCATTTGGTTACGAATGGGAGAGATGGTTATGTATGGTTTTTTAAGCTTCTTACTTGCCTTCCATAACGTCTGGTTATTTGCTGTAAGGTTTGTAGTGTAATGTTCTACGATTTCGTGATTTCGTTGTTTGCAGCTTTGATGGATACTATAAGTTGCCTACGTAGTCTATTGAATATATGTGGATTCACGTTGTTTCTAGATATTTGCCAGTTTCTCCTCGCATGACGTTTTTCAGCAATAAGTTGGCAAATATGCTAGGAAACATTTGTGGTATGTGTTTGATTACATTCAGTTCATGGTGTAGATTGCCATGCCTTTTTTGCACAAGTGTGGTAAGGTATTGAGCTGCTGTATATCTGTTGTGTGTAGATTTAATCCGCAGATTAAGGTTGATGTTTTCTTCTAGGTAGGATTGAAAATCTGCCTAGTTGGTGTTTTTTGACTTGAGTCGAGGAAGTGGTGGATTCTTTATTACTATGGTACTCAGACTTATAATAACCGGTGTATGATCCAATTAGAGATTATAGCTGGATTCTATTAGACAGTTGTTTCTAAACACTTCTTTGCTTATGTAGTAGTCCAGTAGATCTGGAAGAGTTCTGGGGTCACTCGGCCAGTGTCGTACTGGGATTCTGTTTTTGTGGCAATCATAGTTATTATTGGTTATTGCTTTTAGAAGATTACAACCTTTTGTTGAAGTCTTCAGCAACCGTGTGTGTGTGTGTTCCGCATTCCAGTCTTACACAGGAACAAATTTATTGCACAGTAATTAAAAGAAGGCTTGTATTCATCTGTGGTGATTGCGTAACGAGGTTGGATATACATTGTAGACATGTTATAGTGTTATAACGTTGCATTCACTTCAATGATTGCTGGTTGTGTTTTTTTTTGTTGCATATTTCAGTAATTCAGGATATGACCGCGTACCATGAGCTGTACCATCAGGATGTGGTATGCTATATATGATTGTTATAATAAGAGTAAGTAAATACTTGCTTACCAAAAATTTTCCGCTTTTTGTTTGTTAAGAAGTATTGTAATTTCTAGTTATTTGAAATGATAAAATACATCGTCTATTCAAAGCCTCAGTTATTTTATCCATTATTGGCTTGTTAAACTATATTAACTATTTTAGGGATATCTAAAAGATCTTTAATGCGGCATTTCCCCGTTGCTTTCTACATTTCTAATCATTCTTAAATTATCCACTTATTCAACCAAAGTTGTTAATTAGTTGGAGAAATCTACTCTACCAGTAGTCGCTCGGTCTCTATGGTACTCCACAATTCTATGTTTAGAAGGGACAATCAAATGCTCCACTAGAACGAGCGAATCATTTTAATTGCCAAAGGTGTTACAGAAATTTTAGTAAAGAAAGTAATATTGATCACAAAATTGACAGGTTTTAGTAGGTATATATGCGTAACAATCCATAGAATATAAAACAACAAGAAGAGGCGATAAAATGATATCTATTTTGATGTATGGACATAAAAGCTGGGTAGTAATGCAAAGAAATAGCTTAATAACTCTAGTTGGTGAAATGAGATTTCTTAGAAAACTAAAAGATTGTAGGTTTAATTTTAAATAATTAATAATAAATAAAAGAAAATCCAGAAAACTTACTTCTTTGGGATAATTTATTTTTAAATGTAAACTTCGAGATTGTCGCCTTTCCATAAGAGATTTTCTGGGAACACCCATTACTGGTGGAGGAGATAGGAATGTATTTTCTGATTGTGCTGCAGTGTTCGCTATTGTATTTTCCAATTTTGTATCTGTGATATCCCCAAAGCTGACAGTCTTTTTAACAGCTGCAGAATTGTCCTGGAACTCCTGTAAAAGGGATATGTAATATATTCGGAATTTTATAATAGCAATAGGTACAATAAAAAATTTAAACGATGTTTTATTGGGAAGAAACATCAATATATAAGTCGTTCAGAAGCACAATGGCCTGAGTGTAAAATTTATGGTTTGAGATATATACAAAATGAAACCAGCATTTTTAGTAACCAGTATCATTATATTCAGTTATAGAAACATTACTGGAAAGTTATACATTATATGAGTCATATGAGCAAAATATTAACAAAAAAATCTTTTCTTATACAAAAAAACTCAGTTGGACCACTATGTCAAATATTAAGCTTGTACGAAAAAACATAAAACTTTTACTTGGGCCACCTATTCATCTGTTTTTGATCCAATATCATTAGATATTGCCTTCACTTTTGTCTTCAGGTTTGTAGAATTCATAATTGACTGGCGGAATGTAAGGAAGAATACTCTGAAGGTCTTTATACTTTAGTTGCTCTATGGATCTTCCAGCAGGATAGAAGATGTCCAAGTAGAAATCTTCTCTTTTTATTTGAAAGACGTCTGGTTTTTGAGACGTCAATACAATTAAATAATAGACTCTCTTTATTAAAATATTCAAAGCACGTGGTGGTAAAATATTTAAAATAAATTTTAAAGGGCTTTATTGCTTTGACCATTAGCAACTGCATTTTAAGACATTATTCATCTTTGAGCTATTCTTTAGCCTACAGAGCTTTTTATTTTCATGTTATAAGCATCACATCCTTTGCCAGTCAGTAAAAGAAAAACGAAAATGAAGATTAATATCTTTATTAAATATTTTCGAAAAGACGAATTTGGATACCTTCACTTCTGGTTCTTCACTTTACACATACAAATCAGGTAACAGATACTCTCTTGATTTTATTATTAAAGCTCTGGTGAGCCTTCTATCTAAAACTTGTAGAGATTTTTGGAAAATGATTTGAAAACAGTTACCATATCACCTGATTCTTTTGGTAGCGGTTAAATTCGTATCTTAGAACGTTTATTATGATTTTGAGCTACTGTATGTCGTTTTATACATTTATTTTTGTATTAATTTAAGCAGTCTGTAAATTAAAATCAGATCAGTTGTAGAAGCTTTGCAAAATATTTTTTCTTTCTTCAAGAGATAACAACAAATGACACTTCATTCATTCAAGAAAAAATTGTTTCTTAAACACAATTCTACCACGAGAATTGAAATACGATTTTCCTAAATTTTTTTCAACTTAGACATAGATCTTTTCCAAACTGACTTCATCCAGGTTCCACAAGTCCATCCCCTTAAAGCTTTCCTCAGCTGTAGAAGACTCATCATCAGATGATGAATGGGAGTCAGAGCATGTAAACCATATAAAAGGTTGATAACACTGTTAAACACGAATGAACGCTAGACATTGATACAAACACATAAGGCAAGAGTGAGAATATGTAAACTATCATACTGCTCACTGGCCCAACTGTCACTTAAGCCACATTTCGATAACTAATTCATATGAAATGTTTATGTAGCCCAACTATCATCTATTAGTACACGGTGAAACGTTAGTTGAGCCACTTTGAAATAAAATACATGATAAATGCCACCTGTTTTACTACCTATCTGAATTATACAAAAAAATCAGTTCTGTCACCCTGCTTCTGAGTGATTTATATATACTAGTAATAAGGGACTTACCGGTTCTAGTGGATTTAAGTGGGTCGTATCACTTCCAAGAGAATCATATCCTCTTTCTTCAAAGTGTGGATCCAGAATTACCGAAGGGATATTTGGTATAGAAGACTGGCTTTTACTTTTCTGGATTATGGTATTTCTTCTTCTGGGTTGTACGATGATGGGAGATTTATCTCTAAAAAAATACTAATCTTAAAATTCCAAGATATTTGTTCCGGTATGGTTATAACATTTATAATTAGACTAAAACTTGGACATGTTTGTTATTCTTGTAACATGGCCAAACTTAAAAAGCTTAAATGCAAACTTATATCCAGAGTTTCAAATAGAAGGAGATTTAAATTATTTTCTTCAAATATAAAAAATACATAAAACAAACGGAAGATATATTGAAAATTTTTATAAACATCAAAATTTTTCCTCCATACAATATGTACTACCTGCTGTCTCTAAATATAAGAGTTGTTAATGAATGTTTAAGGAAATACCTGCAAAAGCAAGCTTGATATTGAAGTGTAATTAGAATTCTAACCTCTGTTTTACCCCATTTGTCGTGACCTAGTCTCGTTTGAATTAAAAAGGATATTTTGATGGGTCTCAAGACGAAAAACAAGTATCCATCTTTTATCTTTATCTTATCGTTAATAATTATTTAATGCTTAACACCTTCAGCGTTAAGCTAGTTTACAAAATTTTTGATGACTAAAATTTTTTATGTTGACTGAAGCAGTTTTTTTTATTTACTTGCAGTTTATGTTTGTGTTTTTTAAGTATGGATCATTTCCGATACACTGGTCTAGAATAAAGTTTTCGAGCAGTTTGGCGCAAGTACCATGTGTATCAAAAACGATACATATTTTTATTTCTTTTCAGATTCTGACTGATCAACTTGTTTGTTTAGAACAATAACCGTTTTAAAAACAGTGTCCTCCTGTAAAGATAAACAATTCGATAAAAACAGTAGTTTGGAAAGTAAAAATACAACTCTATGAACAAAATAGTGTTATTGTGTATGTGTAAAGGACTTTAATTGTGCTTTTACTGTGTTTAGTATACTTTGATCACGATGTATTTTTCAAGCGACGACTCTGATAATGAAGGCTGGCATAGAAGATCCCAAAGTACGACATGTTTAAACTATGTACTAAAAAAGTTTATACATGGAACCTTCTGGTTTATTGCGTAAAATCAAAAAACACTGAATCCAAAGTATCAAAAAATACAGTTACGGTTTTAGCTAAAGATCTCTTGGGTGATGGTGAAACATTAAAATGCTGACAGATAATATACCAGTCTGTTCACTTTTGGCTTATCGGCTGAGGAAGAAAAACATCCATTTAGTAAGGACGATTAAAGCAAAAAGACAATATCTGCCATAAGACGTGATGCGCGCCAGACTAAGAATGGGAGATTTCTCAGCAAAAAAAAAAATAGATTTTCGAGGCTCAAAATATCAAATAAAAAATATTATTTTTAAATTCACCAACATCCTAAATTCAGGATCAAGCCTTGTTCTATCATTTCCTAGTAAGTATTTTGGGTATATATCATTATAAAATATTGTTTTCCAAAACAACAATGAAGCGCTTATAAGAGAACGGACACTTGGGCTGTGAAAAGGATAAAAGCAATAAAGCCCTTAACGCTAGCCTAAATTTAAATCGAATAGGAAACCATTCTTTTTTAAAGTTCTTTTACCCAGGACACCCACATGAAGAGCATTTAGCTGATAGTTGTGCACCTATGGCGCATCAGAGTGCTATAGAGGGAAAGGAATAGTATGAAGCATAGTATGAACGCGGTCAAGTGATTCCTGTTTACACACGAATTAATAGATAAATTAGTATAATGAATTGTTACACCTGAACGTGATTTCTAGGTATAAACAAGTCTCACAAGGTATGTTAAATTAAATTGCTTAAGATCTATGGCACATAGTATTACTTGTGTGAATTCTCATTGTATAAATGAGGGCCCGTCCTGTCATGTCCTTCTATCAAATAATTGATAGAAGAAAAGCTAAAGCTGATAAAAGAAAAATTACATAAGATTTATTTTGTTAGGAATGATCCAAAAAAATTATTGAAAAAATTGCGCACGTCGAAAAAATTTATTTTTAAAAATGGTTTAAAGAAATTAAACAACTTTTAGCCTAGACGGTTCCTTTTACCTTATTTTCGGGTATCTTATGAAACTGTTTATGCAAAATAATCTTATGGGAATATTTTCCGAATGAACCTGAGCTTTTCGCCTTCTTCTTAGAGTGCCGTCTCCCTATGAGTTCTGCCTTTGGTCAACAGATCTTCTTCCTTCAATCTTTTCCTGTATTATGAGTCTCAAAATTTCATATTTTGGCCCCCTCGTCACGTGGTCTAGGTATTCCGGACTTCTGGTGATTAGTTCTGTTTCTGTATACCTCAGTTGTTTTAATTTTTCCCTTAATTATTCGTTGTATTTCTTTAGAGTTATGTAGCTCTTTTCCTTTATATTAGCTTTATTTTTTTTTTGATATGTAGATCTTTTCCTTTATATTAGCTTCTTTCTTCCATCTGTAATAGTTTTTCTTCTGTCGTCTACTGTTTTCCAGCCTCTGACCTATGTTGTATCAAACTTTTTAAGCTCGTTTCGGTAATGTGATTTTTACATTATACCACTTTTTATTCACATCCATAATTTGTTTGTTGTCAGTTAGTGTTTTTTGCATATTAACATTCACATAATTTTTAATTCGTTTTTTATTTCTTCCTTTTTTAGCATTCTTACATTAATTTTTGGTTGTTGTTTTCTGAGTTCAATTCTTTTTAAGTTTATTTTCACGCCAGAAACTACCAAATTGTGGTCTAAGTTAACATCTGCTCCAGCAAAAATTTAACCGAGGTTATAGAGTTTTTATATCTGCTATTTACGAGTATAAAATCTATCTGGTTTCTGACAATGTGGTTTTCTATATGTGAAAGGGACGTCCATGTATAAAGTCTTCTCTTAGGAAGAAGACCAAGTATGGCAATTACCATATTCTTTTCTTGCCAGAATTAAATGAGTTTCTCCTCTCTCGTTTCTAGTTCCTAATCCAAACTGTCCAACTACATTTTCAACTGTGCCTACTCCAATTTTTGCATTAAAATCTACTAAAATGGAATTATTGTCTCTAGATTTTGTAAACTTAATTGTATTGTGCAATTCTGAATAAAACTTTTCGATCTCATCTTTAGTCTTATCAGCTGTGAGAGCATAGACTTGGATCATATTAATATTACAGTTCCGTGCTTGAATTTTTAGCATTATTATTATTTTTGAGATTTGAATCACACCGAGCACTGATTTTCTAATAGTGTTGCTTATGATGAAAGCTACTCCATGTCAATGATCAGTTTTGTCTTTTCCAGTGTATTAAATATTGTGGTTATTTATTGATATCATTCCATTTCCTGACCTTACCATTGTACATCGCTAACCCAAAGTTTATCTATATTTTGCCTCTCTTTCTCTTTAATAACATTATGTAGTTTTTTTGCTGACACATACTTCTTACATACCAGGTAGCTATTTTTATCTGAGAGGGTTGTTTTTTTTTGGTTTTTTGTGCAGGGGTTTCGCATGTTGATGACCGAGGATGGCTTGCGTTCTGATGGTTGTCCTCCCCTGCCGAATTTTGTTCTTCGATTACCATATTCAATAATGTATTTTGTGCAAATAGTGCTAGACATTATAATATATACCAGAGATGTTTTCAGGGACCTTTAATGTAGTGGTTTCTCGTTGCTTTCTGCATTCTGATGCCGTTGACCACTTTCTTGGTTTTTTCGCCTTCGAGACTAATTTCTTAGTCCCAGGACAACAGACTGCCCTTTAACTTACTAGCTCATTCCGCCCTAAGCCGTTGGTCAGTAAATGGTGGATTGCTTATCCCGACAAACACTCAGAAGTCAGACCCCCGTTAGTTATCTAGCAGGATGTACCAGAAGACCATGATCTAGATCATCATACGAGCAGGTGATGTCAACATTTGAATAGAAGTGGCTATATGTTGTATTTCACTATTCCATTACATCCCCTTTTCGCCTTGCCTGAAAGCTATTATGAGGAAATAAGGCCGAAATAATATTAACTATTAAAAGACGAAAACTTGAGTACTTGGGACATGTGATGAGAGGGCAAACATACGCATTATTACAACTTATTATGCAGGGCAAAATCCGAGGAAAGCGAAATGTGGGAAGACGAAGAATATCCTGGTTTAAGAACTTAAGGGAATGGTTTGAATGCAGTAGTGCAGAACTTTTTAGAGCGGCAGTCAACAGAGTCCGCATAGCCATGATGATTTCCAACCTTCGATAGAAGATGGAACTTAAAGAAGAGGAAAAAGCTATTAGCAATTATGAATAAAGAGAAATAAAGTTTTGCAAAATACATTAGTAACGAAAAAGCAAAAAACCTAATATTCCAGCATTTCTACTTTCTCCCTATCACTGTGTCACCTCGGGGGGAACAAATAGGGGTCTGAACTCTTCTATTGCCTCCGGGTGCTCTGTAGAGGGCTTCGAAGACGTCAACGAATGCACCTCTACCCAAGTCTATTTACTGGGTATAGACTTGTAGAATTTTCTTCTGATGAGCGCGTCTTGAAAAAGACGAGCTATTTCTTACATGACTTATAACTAAGAAAGTCGAAATAAACATCAGGTTGTAGTCTTCGGTGGCTTACCTTGACAAAGGCAAGATATTTCTTACATGACAAAGATATTAAGGTTGTCGAAATAAAATCACCAAATATTCAGTTAAATAATAATACTCAGCCACAGAGTATGGGAAAATCTAAAAAGAAAGTAGAGCCCCGAGAGCACTAAGCTCTCGGAGAGCCCGTGAAGGACTAACTTGGTTGACCTGAAAATCGCCTATTTTTATACGCGCTAATGTAGCGATAAATAGGGATTTCCAGGTCAGGAACCAATAGGAAAAATGAGGGGCGGGGCGATGCGTCTCGAGTGCGTACTAGTCGCGCTTAAGGACAACTGAGTACTAAAGTATTTTTAACTTGTATGGGTTTAAGCCAAATTCTCTATAGTTATAAAATATGACCCATACAATAAAAAAGACACAGAAAGACTTTGAACAATTATTCAATGAAAAAAAGTGGCAGATATGTATAAAAGATTCAACTGATTATTAATAAAA